ATAAGACATCACTTCATTAGAGACCATTAACAATAGTTGAATAATTCCAGCAATAGTTCCAATCACTAACATACTTAGCAATAATATTATTAGCCTTATTATTCCTAACACTAGTCTCACACAAACAAAGCACCCCAACATGTAAAGTCTCAGCTCTATGCATTACTGCAACTTGTTTATTGTGGTGATTAAAACCCCTAACATTCCAAAAAATAATAGTCATAAGCAAGGAGAAGAAACATTACCAGAGCAACTAGCTTCCCTATTCCTCATACTTTTATCCAATAGATCTTTCTTTTTAGCCTCCATATCCTGTAAAATATTGAATACCTCTTGGGAAGCAAGTCTTGACTTTCTGCCCCTTCTATTTCCTCAGGAACTGTGACAAGGACCTCAAACTTGTTAAAGAACCCAGTAAACATCACCTTACCCTTATCATTCTTTTTCCTTCGACCCCTCCTTCTTTGTGATGGAGGATCCACAAAATGATCACTAGCCTCAACTATTGAAAAAAATCTTTTATCTTCCTCATTCACTACCACAATCATTACCTCTATGGCCTTCTTTTCCCCCTTAACAACCTTCTCATGATTACCAATCTCCTTCTCACCCAAAAGATTATCTCGTCCCTCAAGATCCACCACAGTAACAAGAACCACAACATACTGACCCGCTAGGGCCACCACAGTAATAAGTTTCACAAAATCCTACCCTACATCAACATATTCCATAGAGTCTTTCCCCTTAACTGTCGCCATAGAAGCATGCTTCACATAATCCTTACCTTTAACTTGTCATTCCATAAGCCCTCCATTAACCTTTTCAGTACAGAGCTTCTCAGAGTGACAAAAAACTTTGCATTTAGCACAACAAGATGGAAACCAAAGAATAACCATGCGACCTTCCCAATCGACCCATTACGCAGCTTGATGTTAATTGACCTAGCCAGTCGAGCACCAGCCTCCACTTCCACACAAACCTTAGTAAATTCTAACATCTACTTTATGGCAATGATGGAATTTATGTATAAGGGCACCCCCCAAAGCACTAGCTATATAACTAAGCCTTTTCCTTGAGTATAATTCCAATGGTACATTGCAAAGCTGCACTTACACTGGCATTCTAGTTAGATCAAAATCAATTCGTTTTAGATTAGGCTCCCATTTCCTCAACACCAACGGTTTATGTTGGATGTGCCATGGATCATTTTCCAGAACTCAATCTTTGTTAGCTCCATTTACAAAAGAAAAAACATAGAGATTAGGTCCAGAAAGACTCACCTTAACCATCGATGATTTTTGAATAATTTTGTTTAATAAAACTTTTCCATTTTTAATGTAAACTTTTGGCATTTTTATCTTCTTTTTTAATATTGTTCTGTCTTTTTTAGGATTAGATTTGACTTTATTTTTTATTAACATTTTATTTGGTTATCTTGTTAATATACTCATGATTTGAACTCTAGGGTTGTTTATCTCATATTGATAGTTGCTCACAATTATCCAAAATTGATCACGTTTGAGTTGTAATATAACATCCTAATTGAGTATGATTTTTTGAATAAAATTCTTATTTTTAATCAACATTAAATTTTTTTCCAAAGCATTAGGTTTGTTTTTTTTAAGAAATCCAATTTTTTTGAATATGATAGTGAATATTTTATGAATTTTATTATATCAAAGTATTTTGTAATTCATTTTCTAAAATTTGGTGGTCTATTAGAATTATATATATATATATATATATATAAAGTTAAAATTATTATATTATATAAATATAAGTAATTACTTTTATAAATAAAATGTGTATGATGGATGGACCATGTGATTGAAATAAAAGTTATTATTGTTTTTATTATTATTATTTTATTCAAAATAATTGGAGAACCACAAATTGGAGATATTTTTTTGTATGTCTCGGTTTTAAGGCAATGCTAAGGGATAGCATACCTAATTTAAGGTTAAGAAACACAAACCTTAGCAAATTCTAACCTCTCCTTCATGGCAATGATGGAATTCATGTATAAGGGGACCCCCCCAAAGCACTAGCTATATAACTAAGGTCTTTCATTGAGTATAATTTCAATGGTACATTGCAAAGTTGCACCTACACTGTCATTCTAGCTAGATCAAAATCAAGTAGTTTTAGATTAGGCTCCCATTTCCTCAACACCAACGGTTTATGTTGGATGTGCCATGGATTATTTTCTAGAACTCAATCTTTGTTAGCTCCATTTACAAAAGAAAAAACATAGAGATTAGGTCCAGCAAGACTCACCCTAACCATCGATGATTTTTAAAGAATTTTGTTCAATAAAACTTTTCCATTTTTAATGTAAACTTTTGACATTTTTATCTTCTTTTTTAATATTGTTCTGTCTTTTTTAGGATTAAATTTGACTTTATTTTTTATTAACATTTTATTTGGTTATCTTGTTAATATACTCATGATTTGAACTCTCGGGTTGTTTATCTCATATTGATAGTTGCTCACAATCATCCAAAATTGATCACGTTTGAGTTGTAATATAGCATCCTAATTGAGTATGATTTTTTGAATAAAATTCTTATTTTTAATCAACATTAAATTATTTTCCAAAGTATTAAGTTTGTTTTTTTAAGAAATCCAATTTTTTGAATATGATAATGTATATTTTATGAATTTTATTATATCAAAGTATTTTGTAATTCATTTTCTAAAATTTGGTGGTCTATTAGAATTATATATATAAAGTTAAAATTATTATATTATATAAATATAAGTAATTACTTTTATAAATAAAATGTGTATGATGGATGGGCCATGTGATTGAAATAAAAGTTATTATTGTTTTTATTATTATTATTTTATTCAAAATAATTGGAGAACCACAAATTGGAGATATTTTTGTGTATGTCTCGGTTTTAAGGCAATGCTAAGGATAACATGCCTAATTTAAGGTTAAGAAACAATACAAAATGGGCGCAATTGAAAATGTTATAAAAGATATAATATTTTTGGTTGGACACATATTAAAATGATAACTTATTCTCAATATTTTTCGGTTCCGCATTTTCTTCGTACCATTTTTAGTTGTCAATTGAAAATGTTACATTCTTCATAACATTTTCGATTCAACCAAAAATGTTAAAAAATTAACATTCTAGGTTGTGCTCAAAAAAAATGTTATGCTTTTTATGACATTTTCTGTTGTGTTCATTCCATGTCGTTCCTTAACCTTAAATTAGGTCATCGTACAATAGAACTTCTCCAGTTTTAAAACCGAGAGTTTAAGGAAATGATAACAATATCTTTAAATCAATCCAAATCTTAAAGCAACCCGAATTAATTTATCGACCCAAACCCATACCCAACTTTATCGTTGATAGCAACCCACGACGATAGACAACATCACATGCTCTCCTCATGAATGACATGGTCTTGATCTGCAACTAAGCCATCCAAATCAAACAAAAAAAGAATAAAGAGAAAATAAAAAAGAAACCAATAATAGAATAAAGGGAACTTCGACGAGGTAAGAAGACGAGTGTTTCTCGACGATGGAGATGTCAGTTGGAAGATCCCAACGATGAATAGTTTTTCTTTGACGGTGGGAGCAACATATCTCGAAATCAGCCCCATCAAACATTCATCTCCAATTAGCGTAAGTGTTTTGCTTAGAGGAAACATAGTGATTTTTGTGTAGATTTACGACAATCTGCAACGATTCTCGTTGATTTAAACATCGAAAATAATTTAACATTAACTAAAAAAAAGAAATTTATTTATAAAAAAAACATAATCATATTCGAGTTTTTGAGATTCCGAATTTTATATGATAAGGTCAGTTATCAATGTGTGTTTTCATTATATTCATTTTTATGTTACCAGTGATAATCATCTTTAATTATTAACATTGATGTTTGTTAGTATCTTTTATATTTGTGCATTGTTCGATTGAATTTTTTTAACTCTTATCTTATATGATTTTATTTTTATTATTTAGTACACAGTTTGTGGTCTTTGATAGATTTTAAAAAATGTGACTTTTTTGTTGTTGTTGAGAATGTGATTTTAGTAGATTTTTCTTTCTTTCTTTAATAAAATCAATTATATTTTCTAGTTTAAATACTAAATACATTAATAATTTGTATTATGTAGATTTGCAAAATTTCGCTTTTTTTTTCATATTTTAATTATTCAGCTGTATCTTTGCCTACTTCATAATTCAATTTTAAATTTTATAATTTTTTATACTATTTATAATTATTTAATTAAACAATAATAGCACGAACCAACTTACTTCAGTGATTAAAGGAATTGTTGCTCTTTCTAGAGGTCATGGGTTTGAGCACCAACGATTGTAACATGTTGATTCAGAATTCATTGTCAAATAGATGAGAGTATTTTGAAAAGATACTATTTATAATCATCTTAGCTTAATAAAAAAAATTCATCAACAAATTTTTTAACAAAACCTTCAAATCTGGTAATTTATAAAGTTATTTTTATATGCAAATAAACTTTTTATAATTTTATTAATTTTATAACTTATAAAGAAAATCCAAATTCCAAAAGGCTAGAACACAAAAAATGAACTCGAGATTGACCAAAACCAGAAATTAATATTAAAAAATAAATAGTATATATAAAAAATTTAATTACAGAACTTATTCTAATAAATCATATATTTTATTTGTGTTGAAATAATAATTTTTAAGTGAGACTGCCACTATCACACTTGAACACAAAAACTCTTTGGTATTGGTACCTAATACTTCAGTTCTTAACTTTTTTGGCATTCCCTTGCTGTCGCATTTTTTTTAGTTTTTGATTCCTTTAATATAAATTTACATCTATATGCATAATCTGAAAGAGAATTTTGAGAAGATGACTTTTGAATCTTACTGCCAGAAAATTCATTCTCCTGAATGGATAGTGCATGTAAAACGAGAAGGGAAACAAACAATGATTCCCTAATTTATATTACAAACACTAAGCATGTACATGAAATCTTTTATGTGGACGGTCATCTAAGACAGGAAAGTCGGAGTATGTCTAACTAGCATGTACCATGTATAGCAGAAAATTTACTATAGACAGTCATTACACAAATATTAGCTACCCTACTCCCAGCATTTTGAGATCAGCGATTTAACACATGTATGTAAATAGAGAAATTTATGTGTACTGCATGCACATTAAAACCAGTGTTACACAATTCTGAACGTTCAGGCAAATAAAACATGGATGGACATTTTCATGGATACTAAGATACTCGGATAATATGATAAGAAAAATGTGGTTGAGGAACTTACTTGTTTCATAAGAGATTGAGACCTACTCAAAAGAGCAGCAATCGACAAATTGAGGCATTGAACTACGAATGGCTATGAATTCATGACCGCAACACCGCCAGTTGAGAAAGACACCAAAAGAGAATGATGAACTAAATGTTTTTGCCCTTAATTTCTAACAGAACTTAGATATAAGAGGCTTCAGGTAAGTCACCCTAAGGTAAGCCGTGGCCTCTTCCTGTAATCAGCATCTCTAGATCTAGAGCGATGCCCATCTTCCTGTGGTAATCGGAACTTGCTGTGTGTCCTTGACGACCGCCCCTGGTCCCTATCATCATCATGCTCTGGCTCACGGTCCCTGTACCTACGATTATCTGCATATCTGTCTCGGTCTTCCCTATATCTATCCCTCTCCCGATCACGTTCCCTATCACGATCACGGTCACGATCTCGAGATCGCTCCCTATCATGTTCTCGACCAATGTCTCTATCATCCCGGTGCCTTCTTTCAGGCCAATCATGACCATGGCCCATTTCCTTCTCCCTAGGTACGTCCCTATCATATCCTGGTTCTTTATCATCACGCTGCCTTCTTTCGGATGAACCAGACCACTCTCTTTCTGATGTTCTATCTTTTTCTTTAGCTGGATTTTTCCAAACTCCTTTGTCATGACTAACCTCACTATATTGATGATCAGACGTAGCTTCCTCCCCATAGCTTGACTCTCCAGCTCTCCCAACACCATGCTCAGCACCACCCCATCCTCCCACGCTAGGATCTGACCACATTCCCATATTAGGCCCATCTACACAACCTGAGGGCATCATCCCCATACCATTCATGGGCATACCTCTTCCAAAAAATGCAGGGTTAACATGAGGAGCCACTCCAGGAAAACCAACTCCTCCAGCAGGAGGGAATGAAGGTAAAATCCCTGAAAACGGAGGCACTGGACAACCAGGATAGCCTCCATAACTGCCCATTCTTCCCATGGGGCCACCAAAAGCAGGATCAAAACCTTGACCCATCATTGACTGCGGGTGCATGAGAGGAGGTGTCCCACCCATTCCCTGCCCGAATCCATTTCCACCATTTCCCATGATACCTCTACCACCCCTGTTCCTCATAGGACCACCTGGCCCTCTACCTCCCAATCCCTGTGCATAGCTTCTTCCCCAATTCCCTCTACCATAACCTTTATTATTATCCCCACCTTGGAAATTCCCACCAGATTGAATATTATTGACACCAGTCTTACCAGCCACATCATTAGGACCCCTCTTTGCTTGCAAGAGAGCAGACTGTGCCATCTGCTGATTCCTATTTAACTGAGCCTCTCCCATTTTCTTAACAGTAAAGGGAGATGCAAAGGCAACAACACAAGGCCTTCCGTTAAACATGTGCCCATTCATTCCCTCCTTACAAGCTGTGGCTGCGGATGGATCATAAAACTCAACCTGACAATACCCTTTCGACTTCCCACTTGCTTTCTCGTCGAAAAGCTTTACTTCCTTGATGGGCCCGTACTTGCACAACTCGGACTCTAATTCAGCATCTGTTGTCCACCAATGCAAATCTCCAACAAACAATATTGTCCCACCACCTCCACCTGCACCACCATTTGCTCCAACTCCAGGGCCAGCACCAGCAACACCCAAATTTCCACCTCCATTCGCAATTATAGGACCACCACCACTGCCACCAAGGCCATTCACACCAGCACCTCCTACTACTCCTTGTCTCACCAAATCTTCATTCTCAACACCCCCCACATTCCCTACACCATATCCCTGATGTCCCATACCACCTACACTACCTAAACCACTATTCTTATTCCCACTCTGCTCCACAGCAACCTCATTCAATTTACTCGGAGCCTGAGCTAATTCAACCCTAAGCCCACCCCCACCAATGCCCGGACTAGGTCCTTTGACATCATCAACAGCACCAACACCCCTAAACCCTTGACTCTCATAAGAAACTCTGGAATCCCCACTATCACCACCACCTGCAACCCCCGGAAGTGAAACACCAGATTCTGGAGCACCTATTGGTGATCCACTAACTTTCCCACCACTGTTAATATTAGAACTATTCTTAGTTTCTTCATTTCTAAACCCTACATTGTCGTTTCTTCTCAAAGATTGAAGAAACCCTTCACCAACATTAACATCATTGTAAAGGTCTTCAAAATCTTCGTCGTCTTCACCTAAAAAACTCACATCAGCAACAGCCGAGATTGCTTCATTCGTATGGAACTGATCCCCTTCTTTCTCTTCATCCATCTTTTCCCCTCAAAAATTCAAAAATACAAAAAGTACCCCCAAACTAATTTCAAAACTTCGAGCTTTTTCTGCTTCCTGGAAATTACAAAAAAAATACATTTAATAAAATGAAAACATATATTAATTGAAATTAGAGAACGAATTCGGGGATTAAATCTTACCAGGCAGCTTAAGTGAGATATCAAAAAGAGAAACGTGAGAGAAATACGCAAAACCCTAATCCTCAAAGACCATGGGATTCTTCTTTCTTTTTCTGGGAATTTAACGAGCACCGCCGTGAAAGAGCCTAAACCACCAAAAAATAAATTCCGAAGGTTGATTCCTAACTAAGAAAGCATTGAATTTGATTACAGAGCAAAGAATGTAAACTCACCATGAGACAAAGAGAGGGAGATAGTAAGTGATAAAACCCAAAGTTAACCCAACAACAACGAGAAAAAAAGCCACAAGCGAATCAAAACCTTTCTTTTAGGCCTTTTAGCAAGCACAAAGCAGTACTATTTTACGAATGCTCGATGTTCTGGCTGTTTGCTGGAAAACGGCGTCGAAGCTCGAAGATGATATGAGATTAATCACCAAAAGCCTATTAAATTTTCTTTCGTCTATTCCCCAAAAAAAAAATCTTTCGTAAAAGAAAACAAGGCCCTTCCACCATTTTACAGGCTTATATAAACCTAAGCAGATGCGAAAAAAAGTGCTATACTTGGGTTCTAAAGTCCATTATGGAAATACCCGCTTATGTACATGTTAATTTTTTATATATTTTAAAGGTTTAAATTTTTTTATTAATCAACATTTATACATTGAACGCTCACACCCTTTGTATCTATAATATTTGAACATGGATCCTTAAAGAATAAAATTTAAAATTATTAGAGAAAATTCTATAACGCTCGACGAGTATTACTAATGATAAGCATCATTAATTTAATTTATAAAACTTTAAAATTATAAAGTACTCAACAAGTAATCACAAATTAGTTAAAAATCTAAAAGTAAATTATTTAAAATAAAATATTAATTACAATATTTTTATAATCTTATTATAAATAATAATTAGTTCAAATATTAATCTTTAAATTAAAAATTATTTGTTTCTTTCTTTGACGCGACGGCAACGACAACGACAATGGTAATAGCAGTGACAATGGTGGAAATAGCGGCGACGGTAGCAGCAGTGGTGACGACAATAGCAACAGTGACAATGATGATGATAGCAACGATGGCGACGATAGCAGCAACGACGATGACTTCAAAGAAAAAAAAAATAAGGGTTTTTTTAATTTAGGGTTAATATTTGATCTAGTTATTGTTTAAAATAAGATTATAAAAATAATTTAATTAATATTTTATTTTAAATAATTTATGTTTAGATTTTTAATTAATTTATAATTACACGTTGAGTATTTTATAAGTTTAAAATTTTATAAATTAAATTAATGGTACTTATCGGTGCTCGTCAAGCATGATAGAATCATCCAATTATTAGTAATAAATATTATTTAAAATTATTTTAAGTTATATATATAAATATATTAATTATGTATAATTGCTTTTAAATATTATTTAACATATTTTTTTGTGAAATAAAGGTAAAAAAACTAGCACGTAGATCTCTACTTCTAAATTACAAGCAGTAGACTTCTCTTGTAGTAAATTAAAAACCTCCAGCGGTGGACTGTAGAATATTGTATGGGCATCTCGTCGTCTAGCAGCAATCCTTGCCAACTTGTCGGCTACCTTATTTGCCTCCCGATTTATATGACTCAAAGTAACATTCTATTCTCGGTTTAATAATTCAAACACTCGGTTTAGAAGAGATAAGAAAGAACCTTTCTGTAGCATCCGAATGACCTCCAAGCTATCGGCTTCTACCATGACTTGTCGTTCATCAAGGTTCCATGTAGGGGCGTAAACGAGCCGAGTCGAGCTCGAGTATTGCTAAGCTCGACTCGACTCGAAAACTCTGAAATGAAGCTCGACTCGACTTGAAAACTCGCGAGCTTAAAATTTTTAAGCTCGACTCGAACTCGAAATCCTGAACTGAAGCTCGTAAGCAGCTCGAAAAGACTCAATGAAAAAAAATCTTAAACTTAACTAGATTGAAGCCTTAAACTCGAACCTGAATCTTAAAATACATAAAAGTTTTATTGTATTTTAAAAAAAATCAACACATAAATGTTAATATTATTAATAATTTATTTTTAAAAAAAAATAAAATCTTAATATATTATATTTTCGAGCTGCTAACGAGCTTTTCGAGTCGAGTATCAAGCAGCTCGTTTCGTCTCGATAAGATTTCGAGTCGAGTTCATTCGATCCGAGTATTTATCGAGTCTTGACCGAGTCGATCTCGAGTAGCTCACGATCTGTCTCGTCTCATTTACAGCCCTAGTTTCATGCATGAGAGAGACCTTCATAAATACCCCATAGCTCCTCTTTAACGATAGAGCATATTCCTATTACCTTAGAGAAGCCAAAAATCCAATATCTATTCGAGGATCGGAGAGCACCTCACATGTAGCAAATATGTTTCCTGTTTTACGGAAACTATCTATATTAATCTTACACCAATTTGGAGGAGGCAGGGACCAAAGAACGGTCCTAGTAAACTGCCAATGGAAAGATTGGCTCCTCGACATAGAAGAATCAAGTGCATGGTTAGCTTCGAAACAAAGACGCTTGCCTTATTTCAAAACAGACTTTGTTCAATATAATCCAGATAAAAAATTCTCTTATTACGATTCTTCTATATCAGCCAAAGGATCGAACCAAATAAAAAATCTCAATCTCATTCATCGCGTTCATAAAATCCCGGAGAGACGATATTAATTTGCAACCAACTCCTTGATAGAAAATCGTGTGACTTACCACCTTTAACTAGCGAAGGCCAGATTCCCATAGCTAAAAAGTAGTGGAGAAAAAAAAGATGATCTGTCGTTTCCCCCGGCTGCCCACAACCTCCACAGTGGTTGCTTGTAGTAAATATTATTTAACATATTAGTTATAAGTTAAAGGTAAAGTTTATTAAGCTTTACATATCTCCATAACTTTTTTTATAATTGATATCTAATGGTTTTTTAAAATAAAATAAAAAATTAGATATTTTTTTAATTTATTATTCATTTAATATACATAACCTATATGAATATAACATATAATTTAACGGTTAAATTACTAACATTTTAATATTAAAAAGACTTATAAAAATTTGCAATTTTCACTTAAATTTACATAGATGAAGTATATAAATGGTCCCTGATTATATGGTTTTACTTTGTTAAGTCATTCAACTATCAAAAGTTATAAAACGGTCCTTTAACCATATGATGTTACTTTATTGGGGCCCTTGACTATTAAAAATTACAAATTTGTCGCCCAACTATTTATTATATTCCAAATTCGTTATTTTTCATTAAAAAATTGATGAAATTCTGAGCTAGATGTTAATATGTTATCTAAGATATGATAAAATCTTATCCAAAAATCTCAAATGACTATCATATCTCATACACTAGATTAACAACCAGCTCAGAACATTGTTAATTTTTTAACAGATGAATAGTTGAGTGACTATTTGCTAACTTTTAATAGTTAAGAGAGTTAAAAAACAACTTTTTATAGTCGGATGACCATTTTGTAACTTTTTATAGTCGGATGACCATTTTGTAACTTTTAATAGTAATGGACTCAACTACAATGAGTGTCGTATAATCGGGGGACAATTTTTGTACCTTACCCAGTTTACATTATATTTTTTTATTAAGGTGATTACAAAGTAGTATATGTAGGGGTGTGCAAAAAATTCGATCCGACCGATCCGATCCAATCTGGAAATTCGGATATCTGATACGCTCTTTAATTTTTAAATAATTCAGATTGAATATCCAAGAAAAAATCGAACAATCGAACCAGATACGGATCAATGAAATTTCAATTTCGGATTATTCGGGAAAAATTGAGCCTTTAGATGATTTTATTCAGGCCTAATCATTCCAGTCCCAGCCCAGCAGGCCAGTAGCCCTCAGCCCCCAGCAGGCCAACACTTCCCCCCAACCCAGCGCCTCTGCAGTCTGCTCCGGACAGTTTATTATTTTTTTATTTTCTTTTCAACTTTTAAATTATTTAAACTTTAAATTATTTATTTTTAAGCCTATAAAAGAGATTTTAAGTAGTTAGTTTAAAATTATTCAAATATATTTTAATAAATATATATTAGAAATATAAAATATAAATAAATTAGCTAACTCTTATTCTCATATGTAATGGGGTAAGGGGAGGTAGGATAGTAGCCTGCCCCCAATGTCAGGTTGAGAGCAGCTTCCGTGAGAGACCTCCAAATTATGAATTGCCCACTCGATCCCACGACCTCCAATCCGAAAATGCACACCTAAGTATATGTTTTAAATACTCTCAACTATTTGACATTAAACATTTAATCACCCTACTATAGCAACATTCAATCAACCTATTATAGCAGCTAGTGTTCGAACCAGCAATATTTAGAAACAACAATGATTCGTTTAACCATTGAGGTATATTAGTTTGTGTTACCCAATTTACGTTAGAATAAGTTACTCAAATTATATATATATATATATATATATATATATATATATATATATATATATATATATATATATATCATTTTTGTTTATTATAGTTGAACTAGTTGAAACTGAGTCAAATATTAAGTAGTTTGTTGAGAGTTTAACAATTAGATAAGTCTAATCTAGTGAAAATTGAACATCTCTATTATTCGATTTTTAAAAAAAATTATACACCTTTGATATTTATATAAAAAAATTACTATAAAATATATAATTTGATTATATATTTTTTAGTATATTAAATTATCAACGCCTCTAAATGTGGGTAACATAAACTGTTATTAAAGCAAAGATTTTGACACAACACAATTTTATGCTCCAATGGCCCAACGCAAACCTCGCGATTTGTTCTTTTATAATCTAATCTCCTTTAACCTACTCGTCTTCTTCTTCCTTTCAACCATCAATACACGATAACCCTAAAAACACCACATTAACATAGATATTACAACTTAGCACATTTATGTTCTTCCATTCTTACATGTTTCAAACCAACGACAGCCCTTTTGCATGTCCGTCTCGTTAACGATTTTCTTAAATCTTTTTGTTTGTTTCGTTTCAAATTAATTCTTTTATTGGTTTTGTTTTTATTCTCACCCTATCCCCGCCGCCGCCGCCGCCACCGTCGGAACCTTATCAAACGCCGACTTGTGGCCGTTGTTTTGAACAATGGGGGTAGATCATCATAGGCAGACAAGGGCTGTTTATGTCTCCTCCCTTTTGTTCTGTCTTCTTTTGTTGAAAGAAAGCTTTGTTTCGGCCCAATGTCTCGATGCTCCTGCGGCGGCACCGACGGCTTCTCCGATTTCTTCCCCGGGTTTGTATCAACCTTCAGATAGTTATCTCATCAACTGCGGTTCGAGCGAGGTGAAGCTGGACGACGGACGGATATTCAAATCGGATACGGAAACAAGTAGTTATTTATCGACCGATGAAGATGTTCAAACGAAAACCGATTCGATGCCGGAGAGTGCCTTCACGAATTC